ATTATAAGGAGAGAGTACAATTGATATGTGTGTATATATATATATATATATATATATATATATATATAGCTGTTTAAAACAATATAAAAATCGAATATAAATATATGAACATAAATACACAGATATGAACGGAAAATAAATTAAATCCAATATCCCCCTCAAGCTGCAGCATATATATCTTTAACAAAGATTGAAATTGTGTTGGATGCAAAGCTTTAGTATGAATGTTTGCAAGTTAAGCTGAAGTAGAAATGGGCAGGAGCTTAATTACACTAGCTTGAACTTTATCCCCCTCATGAGATGACAATCAGTTTCAATATGCTTTGTCCTCTCATGCATGGTTGGATTTTGTGCAATTTATATAGCAGATTGATTGTCACAAAACGGAGGAACTGATTGTGGTAGAGGCTATTTCAACTCATGGAGCAAATACAAAAGCCATTATATTTCACATGTTGTGGAAGCTAAGGCTTTATATTCTACTTCGGTTGATGATCTAGATATAGTACCTTGCTTCTTGGATTTCCAGCTAATTAAGGATGCACCATAGAACACATTAAAACCAGTCACCGACCTTCTAGTGTTAGGGCAAGCAGCCCAATCAGAATCACTAAAAGCCTTGAGAGCATGTTCTGTGTTGGAGGGAAAGAATAATCCTTGTCTTGGATTGTTCTTGATATATCTCAGGATCCTTATTGCTGTTGCATAGTGATCTTCCAAAGGATTGGAAAGAAATTGACTCAGAGTACTAACAACAAAAGACAAATATGGTCTTGTGTTGGTTAGATATAGTAACCTGCCAATAAGTCTTCTATAGGCATGCACATCTGAATAGGGTTTCCCTTCTGTCTTGGAAAATTTTGTGCCTGGCTGTATGGGAGTAGAAACAGGTTGACATCCCAACAATCCTGCATCTTCTAGTAACTCTAAAGCATACTTCCTTTGTGACAAATTAATGCCCTGTTGAGATCTTGCAATTTCTAAACCCAGAAAAATACTTGAGTTGGCCTAGGTCTTTAATCTTGAACTTTGCATTCAATAGAGCCTTCACAGTTTGAATTTCTTGGATGTCATCACCTGCCAAGACTATATCATCTACGTAAACAAGTAAGATGGTGATATGAGCAGAATCACTTTTGACAAAAGGTGAATAATCTGATTTTGATTGTATGTAGCCTAAAGAAAGTAAAGTACTTGTCAACTTGTAATTCCATTGTCTAGAGGCCTGCTTGAGTCCATATAAAGACTTCAATAACTTGCAAACTTGCCTTGGTTTTTCTGTTTTGTAGCCAAGAGGAAGAGACATGTATACTTCTTCATCTAGATCCCCATGTAAAAAAGCATTATTTAAATATAGTTGATGTAAATACCAATGTTTGGAAGCTGCTAAAGCCAGAACCAATCTTACTGTTGTGAGTTTGACAACAGGTGAAAATATCTCAAAGTAATCTAAGCCTTGTTGTTGTGTGTAGCCTTTGGCTACTAACCTTGCCTTGTATCCACTAGTGCAGAAAGGACTTTAGACGTCTGTTATTTTGGGCTTTTTTCATCAGATCCCAATCCGACATCTTTTTGGGTGACGTTAATGGGACGTCGGACTCCATAGGTCTGACGTCTTTATAGACGTCGGACATGACATTACCCGACGTCTAAGGGCACTATAGACGTCAGACATGGCATTACCCTGACGTCTAAGGGAACTATAGACGTCAGACATGGCATTAACCGACGTCTATTGCAGCTCGTGTCTTTGGGTAGCGTAGTATCACCTTCTTCCTTTGCTAGTTTCATCGCAGAAAATGTTGCGTCTTTTGGACCTCTTATGGCATTTCGACCGAAAACCGAATCTGGGTCCTTGCCTAGTTTCATTCCAATCGGCAATGAAAACGAATACAGTGACATGAGAGGCAAGGACCCAGGTTCAGTTTTGGGTTGAAACGCTATAAGACATCCAAAAGACGCAAGCTTTTCTTACGAGGAAAC